CCCTCACAGTAAAAAGTTAAATATAAATAATTTCGTGGCAGTATCAAAAAGGTAATCACTGTAGTTTGAAAATTAGAATGATTTTTAGAAGAAAAAATCGTGCTAGAAAACATCTTGAAGTGATTTCAAATGCAATCAGGTAGCACAATTTTTTAAATGAAGCCCTGTAATGAGAATAGCGCATTATTAAAATATCTTTATCCTCAGATATAACAACATGATTATTTTAATTGTCATTACTCATCAGAAAGATGAAGATGAAGAAGAGGAGGAGGATGAAGAAGATGATGATAATAATGACGACGACGATGAAAACGAAGACGATGACGATGATGAAAGTGACAACAAAGTGAGGGGATTATGTCATGTTAATGGTGTCAAAGATGACCATTGCATGCTCGGTAGCGATAGTTGCATTGGTAGGATGCCGACCAGTTGAAGGCTTTGATGAAGATGAAGAAGATGATGACACGACGATAATTATGACAGTGGCGATGATGATTGCAATCAAGTCGATGATGATGATGATGATGGCGATGACTGTGATGATGATGATGATCTCCCAATCGATGGAGTGCAACTTGCTATGTTAGGATCACGCCTTCTTTTATTGAAACTCTCAACAAGCAGCCGTGAATGCAAACAACTTGATGATGAAGACGATGTTAATGATGATGACGATGATGATGACGATGATGAAGACGATGATGATGATGATGATGTTGGTGAAAAGATAGAGTTGTTGATGATGACTCATGGTTGGATTGATGATGATGACGACTACGATGATGATGAGAACGATGATGATGATGATGATGATGATGATGATGATGATGATGAGAACGATGATGATGATGATGATGATGATTCCAAAGGACAGAAATGATCTCAAATAATATTTTATCCTAATCAACCAAATTGTTTTGTAAACAATTTTCGACAACAAATTATGAGTTACTACGATGACTAGAATAAAAATTGCAAAATTTTATGGATTATTATTATTCCAAGTAGTTTTTATAACTTTTATTATGATTATTTTTATTACTATTATTATTGTTTTTGTTGTTGTTATTATTGTTATTTATGATTATTAGTCGTCTTTATCAATTCAAAGTGTTTTTAGATTTCTGTGTAGTTATTCTTGAAACAAATTTCAGACTTTTTTGGAAACGTTAAACTGTTTCACACACTGCTTCAGATGTCTGTGCACGATTCAGTTCTTTTAGTTCAGATAAATTTGAAGAAGAAACCGCAAACAGACGTACATCTGCGGTAGCTCAAACGTGAGCGTGATGTGCCGTTTATGTTTCATTATGTGTTCACCTGGTTCAAATCTTGTCTCCGCCGAACTCCAAATTCACAAAATGCACCAAGCCGTCATGTTTCCTTGTGCACATTTCGTTGATCCAAGGCTCTCGCATTACGACGAAGTAAGACGTTTGTGTAGTTACAGCGGCTCAAGTACTTGTTTACATACTCGTGAGAGTTTATCAATGATGAATGATAAGAAGAACTAAATAAACATCTAAACTAACAGCTTGATGTTCAACAGACAAAGATTCGTTTCACAAACAAAACACTTGTGATGTTGTTAAATGTGCTCAAACAGTTTTCAACATAGATGCATTCTTCTGATGTAAGCTCCGAAAAACCTTCCAGCATATCACAGACACGTTCGTATATACACGTACAATCGTTGGGGTGCATATTCATTTGTTCGATGAAACATAACAGAACTTCAGAATAAAAAAAATACAACTAATCCATTATTAAAAAAAATTTTTAGACAGAAAAACTAAATTAGAACTGACAGAACTCAGCAACTTAACAAAACGCCTACCCACTAATAACTCATTGCAATTTCCCATCAAGCAGATTATATACCTAAAAAAAGATTTTCTGAAGCAATTTTGTTTGTCCAGCAAAAAAACAACATTTGAAATAAACAAACAATGAAAACAATGGACGTTATGTTAACGAAATGCAATTGTTGCTGATGTTGCTGAAAACACCAATCCATGCACTTCGTCAAGTCATATTGAAAATAATATGCCATTTTTGAAAACATTTCTATTAGAATTTTGAAATTTTAAAGTCTTGAATTACAACTGAGTTCAGTGAATATAATGACAGCTATGATAGCATATGAATATGAGT